AATTTCCTTTTGATCCGCGCGCCGCCCATCTTCGAGCAATCTCTTAATTGATTCTGCAGGAATTGGTATTCTTTTCGGTCTGGATGCTTTTTCAGCTGTCATCAAACACGTACGTGTTTCCGCTAGTCATTTTACACGTGACAATATGACCTGAATCTCTTGAGTTAAAAGTCTAAGAATTTTAATTACTTTTCAGTTGACTTTCTAACAAAGATATTCACAGTTATAGAGAATTAAATCTTAAACTATAAATGATTAAAAATCAACGAGAGTTGAATCTTAGAGATGCAATTGGATAAGGAAACTTTATTATTCATCCATTTTTCCAAAATAAACGAAACCTTGTTTCGTTTGTCTTTTTATCCTAATTTATTCGCTTAATAAAAATTAACAACTCGAGTAATGCGTGGCAAGAAACAATCTATTATGATATTCTGGAAAAAGAGAAGAATATTATCAATCATATGCTGCTCATGTTATAATTGATAATACTCTTTAAATAGAGATCCTCCAATAAGAATCTAGATACGAGCTGTAGTTTTGTATGCAGGATAATAGTTTCAAAAATCTGTAAGAGAAGGACACAAGGTTTCCTATTTCTTCCTCTTTCTCATTTCATCCTATCTTTTTCTTATCTATTTCTCTCTTTCTTTCTTTTCTTTCGAGAATTGTTAAAACATGGCGGATCAATGAAAAGTGGCTTTCTCATGTTCAGACTCTTATTAGAGGGTCTCTAACTTTAATGATACACGGTCTATCGGCCCACGTGGAGTGCAATCGCGAGACCGGAAGAACGACTCATGTTGGGGGAGCAATCGGCTCATCGGGGCGGAACCGGTTAACGCCAAATCGTCCGTCATTCGTTTGCGCGATTAACCGCCTCGTGTTAACAACATCGGCCGCGCCGCGACAAGGGGAGGAGTTTATACGTCGTCCTGGTCGCGCGCGCCCACCCGAGTCCATCGGCTCGCATAAACATCCTCGGTACAACCAGCCGCCACCCCACAGAAAACTGATTTCCATCCCCCCATATAGCCGCGACTCGCGCTATCTATGTAAATGCGGCCCTGTTTTGTGTGAGTAGACAAAGCCCCCGTTGACAATACGCCTGCGCGTTTACAACCTCCACCCGCCGAGCCGAAAGTCAGGCTCCATTACGGCTGTTTTGCGACGCGCTTTGTATTGTTGTCGCCGCCACCACCGCCGCCGTCGCGCGACACCGATTCCTCCACGAAAACTTCTGTCATTTTCGTTAGATTGTAATTGGTTAACACCGATGAATTTTAACTGTGGATTCACCGAGATCTGACGTTTGGTGAACATTTACTATTTAACCTTTATTTTTATTGTTTCCGGTATTTGCGGCTGATATAAAAAAAAGTAACGCGCTTTTATTAAATTAAAAAACATTTTACACCAAGTTTATTACACCCTTTCCACAGATGTAGAAGAAATTTTGACACTAAAATAGTTTAACGAAAAATTAACTAGTCTCTCATTATAAAATTAAATTAAATTTTCAAATTTTGTTTATGAGGAAAAAGTATACTATAACAAAATTAATGTTTACAAAATAAACAAAATATAGTATACAAAAGTATACTATAACATTTTTTTTACTTTTGATTATTCTTGCGTAATAATCATGAGCCAACTTATGTATTTGAGGCCCATGCAGACACAAATACTTTCAGTTATATTATTACATAATTCTGTCTATTGGCCACAATAATGATAGAATAATCGCCTATACTGACCACTAATACTTCTGGTTTCTTATTCGATGAGTAACGGTAAGAGAAGTAATTGGATGGAATGTGTGTGTGTGTGTGTAGGTCGTACTTACGCTCGGAATGTTGTCGTTCGTACACACTCCCTCCTGCAACAAGCGATCTCGGATCTCCCACGCGAAGATGGACGGGCACTCACTTTTGTAGAGCGAGATTTTATTGACGACCTCTGCCGTTGCCACGCGCGGTTTGCTGCCGCCGATGGCCCTGGGCCTTATAGATCCGGTCTCATAGTACCTACAACAATAATAATTTGCGGTACAATGCGGTAGGATTACGTGAAAACGCTCAGATCGTTATTGAAAATGAAACATTACATGTCTATCTCTTTAAGCGTGTTATCGTGGCCTAAATATAGTCGAATAATAGACGCAGAGCCGGTATTGAACAATATACCTTGATTGCCTCTCATGCAATAAATGCTGAACAGTCAAATGTTTGACTGGACTCGCTTATACCTTTCTCTTGATTCAGATTCGGTTGTAATTTTGCGTAATGTTCTTTTAATTGAAATTTATGAAAGCTACATCTACTCTACGATTTAGAACGTGAGACCGACATGCAGGCTCATATTTCATGCACAGCAGCAAGATTTGAAACAAGTTTCTTAATTGGCGACGTAATTATTCAACTCACTTAAAGTGGAGTTTACAATGAAATTTTAGAGCATGAAACTTAGTCTTAAAGTCGTAAGAAAATTAATCGTAATCGATTATTCTCCTCACATTCAACGGCGATTAGTTAATTTCTCACGGCTTAGGACTTAAAACTTACACAGGGAAAAAAACTGTTTTAGTTAAACCAACAAAAAGATCTAATCTCAATGGAATTTTGGTTGGGTCTTTTCGTTGGTTTAACTAGAATTTTTCTCGAGTATATAAATTTTACACTTTAAAATCTCATTGTAAACGTCGCTTGAAGCCTACAATAAGGTGCAAAATTTAAACTTTAAGCCTTAAAACATAAAAAAAAATTGATCAATTATAGTCGATTAATCTCCTCATAATCGACTATATGATTGGTCAATTTTTTACGGTAAAATCTTAAGATCTTGTCTTAAGATCTCATTGTAGACTTGAGATGTACAATGAGTTTAATCGAATTTAAGAACGCGACATCAAACGAAGCAAGCAATATTGCAACCAACCTGCCGAGGATCTTGGAGACGCAGCCATTGCTGACCTGTAGTATCCTGGAGATATCGCATGGCCGTGCACCCGAATGTGCGAGCTCGACGATCTTTTGCCGCGTTGAGTCCGGAAGTGGCCGACCGCCGACGAAGACACCACCCAGCTGGTTTACCCCGCTGTGTCCTGCAAATGACAGAAGTTGTTCGGTTACTCGGACTTCGCTTAACAGTTTCGAGAAGTGCGGTAACAACAAATTACGACGCAACAGATCGCGGCTAGCAACAAGTTACGACAACAACAAATTGTCTCTCCTCTGAATTATTGCTTCTTTTCGTTCTTTCCCTCTTCCCCGATTCCTCCTCTTTCCACGCGCACGACGTTTGCGTAAGGGGTGTGGAAAATTCAAACGCTCCACCGCCTCCGGAGACTTTTTCGCATTTCGGCGAACAATACCGCTGTCGCCATAGATCATGTATTTTCCCTCCTCTCGTCCGCGGAAACTCACCCCGGAAACCCAAGAGGAGAGGAGAAGACCGCGGGTGAGCTCTTTCTTTCTTTCTTTCTTTCTTTCCAGACTCGGCGAAGGGAGAGCGATGGGGAGGCGGAGGACAAGTACAGGGGGTTGGCCACGAGCGTCGTAACGTCAGCGAATCCCATCGTAGATAATCTTCGACTCATTGTGTCAGTGACAAGGCAGGCACACACGCCGGTGCGGGATACTCGAGAGGAACGCCAGGACGGTGTGTTCTCTTGCACAGATATTTTATATTCCCGGGACCGCCGCGCGCGGATGCCGTATCCAAAGGTGACATTTAGAGTGGAGCGCCACGCCTTAAATCTTTCTCGGATAGAAACTCTGTCGTCTTTAAGGAGAAGGTAGAATGTCGAAACAAGACGCAGGAAACAGATATTAAAGTAACGTAAACGATAGACATATATATTATAACATAACGTATAATATTTACCTAAAAAAAAATTTTTTCTTGAATTTTAATATTTAGTATTGTAGTAATATAACAAAAACCATTGTTTAAAGTAAGAATTCGACATCTCGAGCCATAACTTTTGAATTGATCCAGTTACGTACTGTGTAACGTAAAAGATGTTCCTTTTATCTTGTTCCGTCGGAACAGGAAGAGCCGTTTATTATATATCTGACGACGAAAACATTGATGGAGACCATCAAATAGAACGAAGTGTATTTCAAGCGCGGATGTAGCCTTCGATCGCGAGGAAAAAGTACATACGTTAGGGAAAGCAACGTCGGTTGTCAAAAATTTCTCATCGGCGCTAATTCGGCGCGTCGGGCGACACACACCCGGAGGGTTACAAGGGAGATTTACGAGCGTGCGCGATCGACGAAAAGGGGGCTTACGGTCGATTGACTTTCGAAAATGGGCCCTGGCGCGAGAATCGCGAGCCATTTCTCGCGTCTGTCTACGCGCGCCCGTCAACGCCATGGGCCTTTCCTTCGTTCGAAAGAGAATCTACTCTCCACACGCGTAATACGTGTAATATATACACATGTTAATCACACACACGTGAGCGCGCGTATTACGTGCGTATTGTACGCATACTAATAGTAAATTCGGTCACTCGCACTCTGTAATACACCGGATCAGTGCACATTAAAAGCTGCTTTACATAAAGTACCAAATGCAGTGGCACAATATAATCAATTTTGACACTGAAGTAAAATCGTGCATACTCTATTACATATAATACGACGGCTTTAGGGTATTCAATCGTTTAAAATATTCGTATGCTTTTACATTTAACTTCGTTAATTTCATATTTAGCAGCTTTTAGGACGCACTAATCTAGTGTAATGTATTTGTTATATAGATCCATTTTCTGTGGTTGAATACTTTTGGTGTACACTTTTGGATTAAAATAAATGTATGTGTGTGTGTTTGAGAAGAAGAGGAGAATTCTAGTGGAGGAATAAAAACAGACCTCGTATTCCAATCCAATATAAGGTCTATTTTATATTCCTGCACGATACGCTAGAACTCTCTTCTCGCTTTCGCCAAATGTCAAACGTATACCTATCTAAAAATATACCTAAACACCACACACAGTACTAAAGTTTAAAAATTTCAATCGCATAAAACAGAAGAACGTTCACGAATTAATAAACGCGGTTTATAAATAAAGTTACCGTTAATTGTTCCGCATCTCTATTAGATTCGCATAAACGGATGTAAGGAACGTGGAAACGGTGAAAGCGATGAAATTCTCGGCTCAGTTAAGAGGGAATCCGCCGATAATACCGCGCAGAGCTCACAAATCGGCGGGTAAAAAGCAGAGCAGTGAATTAAAGAAACAAATGGAGTCTGAAAAGGAGGGCGAGCGCGCCGCGCTGCGCCGCACAGCGCCGTCTAAGGGTGGGGGGGGGGGGGGGGGGGG